GGTTTGAACCCGCGACCTCCGGCATATGGGGCCGGCGCCCTACTCCTTTGAGCCACAGGCACCGCTCAACTGCTATTTTTTACAGATGGGATCTCATTCTGGCTGAGGCTGATCTTGAACTCAGGCAATCCACCTGCCTTGGCCTCCCGAGTGTTGGGATTACAGGCGTGAGCCACCATGCCTAGTTACCTGGCTATTTTTAGAGACAGAGTCTTTCTCTTGCTCAGGCTGGTCTCAAACTCCTGAGCTCAGGCAATCCACTGGCCTCAGCTTCCCAGAATATTAGGAATATAGGCATAAGCCACCCTGCCTAGCCAATTTTAAGGTCGTATAGTCACTGGCTAGAATTTGTTCATAGAGCTAAGCACTGGGAATGGAGGATTCCTCAAAAACTTTGCCCACTCGGCCTCTTGTTACGCACTCTTTGAAAATTGTTCTCTTTTGTTTCTTGGGCTTTCCCTTGTTCTATCCCTGAAATGTAACCACATCTTAGCATTTGATTGCTGCTGAAGGGCACCCAGACATGGTATCACTTTGAACAACATCTTCATGTGGTAGATACCTTGGTTATTTGTCTTTTTTTGTTTGTTTGTTTGTTTAGAGACAGAGTCTCACTTTATCACTCTGGGTAGAGTGCTGTGGCATTATAGCTCACAGCAATCTCTAGCTCTTGGGCTTATTAGGCAATTCTCTTGCCTCAGCCTCCTGAGTAGCTGGGACTACAGGCACCCACCACAATGCCTGGGTATTTTTTTTTCCAGTTTGTCTGGGACTAGGTTTGAACCCACCACCCTTGGTATATGGGGCTGGCACACTCTACTCACTGAGCTACAGGTGCTGCCCAGCTGTTTGTCTTTCAAGGATGAGGTTTGAGGTGTGGTGCCTATAACTCAAGTGGCTAAGGTGCCAGCCACATACAGCAGAGCTGATGGGTTCTAATCCAACCCAGGCCTGCCAAACAATGACAGCTACAACCAAAATATAGCCAAGCATTGTGGTGGGCACCTGTAATCTCAGCTACTTGGGACGCTGAGGCAAGAGAATCATTTAAGTCCAGGAGTTGGAGGTTGCTGTGAGCTTTGATGCCACAGCACTCTATCCAGGGTGACAGCTTGAGGCTCTGTCTCAAAAAAAAAAAAAAAAAGATTAGGTTTGAGAGGCCCCTATATTCCTTCATTACATGAATGAATACATTCTATTCATTCATTCCTTTGAGGCTTAGACCTGTTTGTAATTAACCCCCTCTAATAGAATGCAATGAATTTATTTATTTATTTAGAGACAGAGCCTCACTCTATGCCCCCTCAGTAGAGTGCCATGGCGTCATAGCTCACAGCAACCTCAACCTCATGAGCTCAGATGATCCCCTTACCTCAGCCTCCTAGGTAGCTGGGACTGTAGGCACACATCACAATGCCCCTCTAGTTATTTTTTCTATTTTTAGTAGAGATGGGGTCTCCCTTTTGCTTAGGCTGGTCTCAGACTCCTGAGCTCAGGCAGTTCAGCCACCTCAGGCTCCCAGAGTTAGGCTAGGATTACAGATGTGAGCCGCCTCACCCAGCCAATACAATGAGTTTATGTGCTGCATCCTGTTAAAACCTAAGTCTGATGTTGTCATGCTTCTGCCCAAACCTTCCAATGGCTTCCATTCTCAGAGTCTGTGAATATCACCAGCACCGTTGACATGTAGTTTTTTGGGGAGGCTGGAGGAGAGACTAACCTGTGCACTGCATGATGTTTAGCAGCACCCTGTTTCTGCCTACTAGATATGGGTAGCACTCCCTCCAGTCCTCAATGGCCAGATATCCCTGCAAGGCAGAATTACACCCTGTTGAGAACTACCTCTTTTTTTTTTTTTTTT